AATGAGCTACAAATACAATAGCTTATGTACAACCTTACTTGAAAAGGATCTGTTCTATAGGCTCGTACCTATGTATACTTGAGTAACAAAAAAATGCAATAGCTATGTTATGGATTAAGTAAACAAATTAAATTAGTAAATGAGGTGCAAATTGAATTATTGTAAAAATATAAACTCCATATTTTGACTAGTTTCGCAAAAACCAAAAAAAAAAAAAGGTACTTCTCTCTACAATAATTCATGATCTTATTACAAACCCAACTATATATATATTCATTTCCTAGCTCCTTACCACAACAAAAGTGTGATTTCTTCTCAAAAAAAAAAAAAACGAAAGTTTTTGTACATAATACAAAATACAAATAAACATAGGAAAACCTCTCCCTACATTAGCAGCTCTACTGATACAACTTTAACATTGTGGGTTCAAATTTCATCCTCTTCTTCGTTGTACCAGTGGCTGACGAAAAAAAATAACAAACTACCTTTGTAGCTTCCATGGCTTTGAAATAGTGATCTTTATGACAAGTCCAGGGTAAACATCATCGGAGTCTTGAATATATGGATTCTGCTCAATTATATACGGGTCGTCGCACTTGGCGCTGATGGTATGGAGTGTTTCGCCTTCTCCGACTACATATATTTCATCACAAGGCCTGTTCAAGAGCTGGTTTCCTCTCACAGACTCCTCTGTCAGAGAGTTCTCTTTAACAGAAGCCAATAGTATGAGAGAGAGAATTACAAAAGCACAGTACCATGAAGATGAATCAGATATGGCTTTTGATATTTTTAGGGTCTGGTTTGTGTTAGAAGAAGCCATACTTAGAGAGAGAGAGAGAGGTTCTGATAATCTTGAGAGAATACGGGGATTACATTATATGTAGAGGGGAGAGAGAGGATGGAATTGGTCGTTCAACCATAGCGCCGTGTGTAANGAGAGAGAGAGGGGTTCTGATAATCTTGAGAGAATACGGGGATTACATTATATGTAGAGGGGAGAGAGAGGATGGAATTGGTCGTTCAACCATAGCGCCGTGTGTAATTTGGCTCCAAGGTCTTCTAGTCTTTTATTCTTTTTTTATTTAACTGTTAGGGGTTTTTAGATCAATTAATTTTTTTTTTTGTCATATTAAAGACAAATTATCTACTTTAAAATTAAAATATTTATAAAAAATATATTCTTTATTTAGCTTGACCTTAAAAAATTATTAATATTCGAATTCAAAATATTTAAATTTATAACTCAGATTTATTATCATTTAAACTTTCTTGAGTTTGCTCTTTCCCAAGTCTCCGCCCCTTATATGAAAGACCTTTTCTTATTTCTCACCAATTGACCAAAGGGGAAACCTTTCTTTTGGACTATTATTTTAGCAGTCTAGTCTACATCATTTTTGAATATATTTTTTCATCAATTAAAAATCAATTATCATGTATTGATTGAGAATTTATGTAAATATAGCGAATATTAATTTCGTGACAGATGATCTTTCATTTACAAAAATTGCGAAAAAAAATTAGGTAGTACAAATCAATCATCTAGAAACCTCAAGTTTTTCACAATATTACAAGTGTTAGATGTAACCTTCCTCATAATGATATTCGTAATGAATAAAAGCANTTAATTAATTTTTTTTTTGTCATATTAAAGACAAATTATCTACTTTAAAATTAAAATATTTATAAAAAATATATTCTTTATTTAACTTGACCTTAAAAAATTATTAATATTCGAATTCAAAGTATTTAAATTTATAAGTCAGATTTATTATCATTTAAACTTTCTTGAGTTTGCTCTTTCCCAAGTCTCCGCCCCTTATATGAATGACCTTTTCTTATTTCTCACCAATTGACCAAAGGGGAAACCTTTCTTTTGGACTATTATTTTGGCAGTCTAGTCTACATCATTTTTGAATATATTTTTTCATCAATTAAAAATCAATTATCATGTATTAATTGAGAATTTATGTAAATATAGCGAATATTAATTTCGCGACAGATGATCTTTCATTTACAAAAATTGCGAAAAAAAATTAGGTAGTACAAATCAATCATCTAGAAACCTCTAGTTTTTCACAAGATTACAAGTGTTAGATGTAACCTTCCTCATAATGATATTCGTAATGAATAAAAGCATAAGATAAAGCCTTACATCAACCATTTTCAACCTACTACCTAATCCGAGAAATTTTTTTAAGAAATATTACACAAAATTTTGTTGTCCACAACTTGACCCCAAAATCCTTTTGAAATTTTGTTCGAATCTTAGCAATTTTTTAGAGTCAGACTATGAGAAATTTATTCCTCATAAAAACTCTAATTTCGGCATAAATAGTTTGCCTTTGATAGAATCGAAAAGGAAATTTATCGTGGTGCACATAAATTGACTTGAACAATCCTGACCATTAAACAAAAAAACTTTTACTAACAAAAACAGATGTTTGTGGGTCAAAATCACGATAGNCGAAATCCTTTTGAAATTTTGTTCGAATCTTAGCAATTTTTTAGAGTCAGACTATGAGAAATTTATTCCTCATAAAAATCCTAATTTCGGCATAAATAGTTTGCCTTTGATAGAATCGCAAAGGAAATTTATCGTGGTGCACATAAATTGACTTGAACAATCCTGACCATTAAACAAAAAAATTTAAAACAAAAAAACTTTTACTAACAAAAACAGATGTTTGTGGGTCAAAATCACGATAGTAATGGGTCATATGAAAAACTATTTTGTGACGCTAGTATTTGGATTAGAATTATAGTTCAAATGATACGAGAACTTCTCAATTCTAATATATAAGAAGTTACGATAGTGTTTAATTTGTTATTTGAATTTTACCACATTACCCTCCATATTTAATAGCAAGTTGGTCAATTTTATAATTATGAATATAGTTTTATATTTTTCTGGAAGAGTTGACCGTCGATATGTTTATGGGGAATTTGGTGGCGGTGGCGGCTTTATTTGGCAGGTGAGTTTTTAGGTGACACCAAAACTTAGACAAATCAAATGTCTCTATTTAAAGAGGAAGCGTGACCTATGTAAGAATATTTGTGTACCTTCCCTTTGTATAATTAATTACAATTGACGATCTTGTATGATGAACAAAATTTATAATTTTTTTTGATAAGTTCTGCTCTTACTCAACTTTCACGCTACTAAGTAGTTAACAAAAATGTTGAGAAATTCAAATTTGAATTAATTTTAAAAAAAATTGTAGGAGTGGGTATATGGATCACATGGGATGATTTAATTGGAGAAGAAATATGTATTTTTATTAATTAATTCAAAAATTAGGGAAATTTAGTATCTTCATAGTAGAACTGTCAATCATGTCGTGTCAGGTGAAGAAAGTTCATGTTAAAAATTATTTTACTTGTATCCGATTTGTTTATTAATTCGTGTTTAGCTAATTATATCATATTAGGTTCGTATCGTATATGAACTGTGCATAACTAATGTATAAACAAGTCGTGCCGTGTATTTATTTGATTAATTTCACACATACTCGATTCATTTATTAATTGTGTCGTGTCGTGTCGGATCCACTAATTTAAGAAACGGGTGGCGTAAAAAGAGTCAAACCTTCTCATTTCATATAGTGTTTGTGCCGTATTAACGAATCGTGTTATATTTTACCATTACTAAGTTGTTTGGTGAGGGGTATTTTGGAGGGGGGGGGGCTTGACAAGATAAGTTTTGAAAAAATAGTTCAAAGGGCCCCTCCAAACCTCATATTTGGATTGAAAATTCAATTATGAGTTTTCAAAGTCGGCTCGTAGTTGGCCCATATATTAAATTCATGATCATAGGTTTCATCAAACCTAAGGAGGGGGTTCGACAAAATGGGTTAAAGAGTTAAAGATGCAAAAGATAATATGTGTATAAATTGGATTAATTAAGAATAAACTAGTCATTTATAGGATAAATAGTTGTTAATAATTATGACATGTCAGCGTATCCTACATGTGTATGNACATGTGTATGAATTAGATTAATTAAGAATAAACTAGTCATTTATAGGATAAATAGTTGTTAATAATTATGANATATGTGTATAAATTGGATTAATTAAGAATAAACTAGTCATTTATAGGATAAATAGTTGTTAATAATTATGACATGTCAGCGTATCCTACATGTGTATGTATTACATTCTAAACATAGATATGGACCAGATTCAATGTTGAATCTTATCTTTATAAATAGGAGTTTAAATTTGGAAACGTTTGAGAAAATCAATTCAAACTCTCCCTAAAAATCCATCCAAACAAGCCCTAAAAGGCTCGAGTCTAAATGAGAAAGGATCACAACAAAAAGAAATGGAGGAGAAAATATTCAATTTCACTAAAGTTTTATTGTTTAATATTTAAAGNAGCGTTTGAGAAAATCAATTCACACTCTCCCTAAAAATCCATCCAAACAAGCCCTAAAAGGCTCGAGTCTAAATGAGAAAGGATCACAACAAAATGAAATGGAGGAGAAAATATTCAATTTCACTAAAGTTTTATTGTTTAATATTTAAAGTTTTAATTGAAAAATTGAACTTATTTTGCTCGAACTTGACTCGAATGCTCTTGAGATTTTATCAAGCTGTGCTTGACCAAGAATGTAAGAGTTCTAACCATCAAAATTCAAACACCAACTAACCAACCAACTTATAAACCCTTGTGGGCCTTGTGGTCTATGGCTCATGGGACCCACCCTATGTCCCTTTAAGGCCTTATACTTTGGGGGTCAACTAGTTGTTTTGTACAGACAGTAGAACCATCAATCCAACATTCATATGGTCCTCCTGGTATAAACAGGAGAAGAAAGATCTGAGTCTTCAACATACATGATGGTAAAAGGTCACTTCTTCCAGATTTCGACCGCGGTTGGACTAGAAAAAGATCGTGTAAAATAAAGGAGTCTAGGACAGATATTACCTTGAGCTCCCAAATTTAAGTCCCACAAGAGACTATTGGTTGGCCCGATTCGCATGATCTACAGTTTATTGTAAGTAATCCCCATTTTACATGACAGCCATCACATAGATCACTTCTCAGTCACAAAGGAAAAACCAGAGGCTTCAGAGTTCATCATTTGGAGAAAGCCCTGAGATTAACAAGAGTTTAATTCTTGAAGAGATACGAAACATTACAACCTTCAGAGTAAACCACAAAAAAAAGGGAGTACAACGATGGCCAAATGTTTTAGCGCAAGAACCCTCATTGGCGAAACTCTTGGCTGGTACATATTACAATTACACATGCGTGGGGCAAAGCCTAAACAATCTACAATTTATGGTATACCGTAAAGGGATGACAATAGTTTTTGTGCCACTGCACAGCTACCACAAGGAAGTCGAAACTGGCAATCTCAAATATTTTGTTACGTTCTGTAAACTTGTTTTAAAAAGGAACAAAGAATAAGATGAAAGCAAACACCAAAAAGATATATTGTAGTGAAAATAAATACTGTCCGTCACTCATGAGGAGGTTGCAGTTTGCTCAGTTGACCATTTCCAAACTCTCACTTCACCAGTCCCATCGCCAGTGAAAAACAGACCACCTGGGCCTAGCTGAATGGATCGAACCTCCTGTTTTGAAAATATCTTGCCCCTCTCGGAAAACCTAACCATGGTGCAAAATATATAATCGATGAAAAAAATAAAAAGAACTCAGTAAGATACTAGAAGTGGTCAAATTTTTACACTTACGATGGCAAGTCATAGACCCGGACAGAGTTGTCATTACAAGAGCACAGCAAGACTGGCTTGGCTTCCGAATCATGCATCCCACAGAGGGTGAGCAGACCCTGTACAAGGCAGATCACAACATCAAACCACACGCTTAAGAGATCTGAGATAATGACATTTAAGTAAACACTAGGAACTGGAACTAGAAGGATTTTATAAGGAAAATACACATTTTTAGGTTGCAATTGCATGAAAGATAATATGCTCCAAGACTTCATGGACAACATGGATCTGATTGAGACACAAGAAACCAGATTTGACAGAGATGTGTTTTGCTAACTTTTGGAGAATCCTACATACTCCATGAAACGTGATCATCTACCTTAAGAAATAAGTGTACAAAAATTGTGTTCAAAAAGAACTCTTGATGAAGACGCTGCCCATGTTTAAAATTTTGGCAAATTTAAGGTGACCTTGCAGATAATACACTCCGGAAAAAGCTCTCTCTGACAAGTCTTAGCATCCCCTTCTCACCAAAACAGTGACCAGAACACTTTCACTGTTGAGCCTGACAGGTGCCACATCCCCAAACAACATAATATCTGTTCCAATGGTAAAGCATTTTCCAAGGGTCAAGCCTCCTCCTGAACCAGAAAATCTACAGGCCCAAATCAGAACCAACCTATTCAAAGTTCTCTCAACTGTATAAACAAATAAATGTGGCCGTGGTGTGAAAAGCACCCTCATACAAGCCGTAAATAACAAACAATTTCAAGTGAAGTACACATAGTTCCATAGGCAGAGGAGAAAACATTCTAGAAGAAAGAAATTTGAATTCATGACTAAAATCGATCGTCTTTCCAGATATTTCTAGGTCAATCAACATTGATAGCATAGAGGCGCGTAGAGGAGAGAAATCAACAAAGATAAAGCATAGTGCAAAAAATAATGAACAGCCAGACATCAGACTGTCAAAGCAATGGGGCCTACAACATTGCTTCCATTGGGCATGCAGCTATGAGAATAATAACCAACATGAACATTTATGAGAAAGTTTGTTAAAGTTAAGAAGACAGACAGCTCTGTTGCCCGAAGAACACTATGCTACATCTATGAACAGCAAATACTTGGTTGGAATTGAAAATGTTATCAGGTCCTTTACCCCCAGTTGTCTTTTTTCTAAAAAGAAAAGTTTTATAGTAAGTAGTTTATCTTGTAAAGTCAAAGTCTCACAAATAAAGAGGTATAAATGCTAACAGGGTTATCTTTTTCAAATTCACTATACATATATTTCTGTACAAACTCAGACACTATTCTAAAATTACAGAGTCATGCTAAAGAAACATACATGTTCTTCATTGTGAGTGTATGTTACTTCCAAATTTCCACTTTCAGTAGCAACCCACACCTGTATTTAAAAGAAAGAAATAGAAGGAATAACTAACTACACGGGCCATGAATCTTATGCGTCATTGCATCGAAAAAAATAAAATAAAACCTTGATTGTTTTATCAAGTGCACAGGATAAAAGAAACTGATCCCAGCAAAGAACAGACATCACAACTGAAGTATGATCTGACAGTGTCTGTACGCACTGCAAAGACTCAAGGCTCCATACCTGAAATCAGAACAAGCAACCAAGAAAACTGAAAGTGAGAAACAACAAACCATAAGCAAAATTAATATGTGAAAATTACTGTCAAGAATCAAAGACCGCAGCAGAATGCATATCCACTATAACCTACTTACTCTTATTGAATGGTCCATGGAACCAGAGTATAGCCTATTTGCTCCAACAACTAGTGTCACAACAGCAAGTGTATGCCCCTTAAGTGATGCTGCAGGTTCAAAGCAGTTGGCGGCTGCAATGAACTTCCATGCTAATATGGTCCCATCCTGTCAGCAAATTTCATCTTTCAATGGAAGTAAGATATGCTAATACCACACACACACACACACAGAAACTGAATGTAAACATGTGAAGGCTTTCCTTAGAAGATGTACACCAGCAAAACTTAGGGCAGTTATGATCACCATGAATCTAGGGAGTTCAAATGTTACATAATCTAGAACCCAAAAGATGTGGTGAGTTCCTTCTAAAATTACTTATTAAATACCACTCCCTCATAACAAGGTGACTTGCAACAGTTACACAAAGATCCAGATCTTATGAAAAATGTGAAACCCACTTCAGCAAGGCACTGATAGACTTTGAAAAAAGAAAGTGTTTAAGGAAACAATTACAAATCACATTCATAGTTAAAAGGTTTACCTGTGTACCAGCAAAGAGCAAATCATTACCCACAACCAGGGAATAGACTTGTCCGACAGGTCCACTAAGACTCAGGTCAGTGTTGGTTTGGGCATTCCATGCCTGCCATGTGACCACCACAATCCCAATGAGGCATGATTACAATACACTTAAAAAGATTTGACAAAAAAAATTGAACAGTGGAGTATATACTGACACAAAAAATGAAAGTCCTGCTTCCAACTTACCTTGACAACATGTGGTAGGCCTACAAATACCCATGGGCCTTCACTGAGCACACAACCTACTTCACCACCCAAATTAATCACCCCAGCGCACTGCAGATAACACAGAATTAATGTCATATAAAGGCTTCTACATGTTCTCTAGTGTTGCCAGAAAAACAGAAGGAAAGGGAAATTAGAAAAAAGAAATCCACACCTTATGTGGCATGTTATTTTGGTTCCTTAAAGATAAAGGCTCACAAATCACAACAAAAAAGATTTTTTAATCAGAGTAACTTGTTTTTTGCTTATATATTATAGAACTCTCATTTCCCAAATCTTTGTTTGCCCAGCACATAATTCTTTTCACCTTTCAGACACTTGCACAAGCCAAACTGGTTTGCTTGCCTAACATTTTGCATATGCAGTTGAGTATAGGCCCTAGTTTGTTTTTTTCCCAACAATTTTAACTATATAGTGATAGGCCCAAAATAACAGAAAATCCAAATTTGAAAGTACTTAACATGCATCACAGGCATTAAATGAAGATAAACATATCAAAAGCGAAAATTATTTCACAAAAAGAGCAGCAACATAATGAAAGAAATAGTGACCTGCCCAGATTGGCAGTCCCACACTCTCACAGTCTCATCTTTACTTCCAGTATAAAGCTTGTCAGACCCAGATGGCATCGCAATCCCACTAACAACCTGTTCAAATAAAACCCATTAATTGTCACAAGTATTCCAACCAATGCAAAGTCAAAAGAAACCAAAATTAGACAATCGAATTCACTCACATGTTTAAGGAACAGATACAATGCAAATCCCAATAAAGACTCAAATTTGACAAATTAGAAACAATTATGTTAATATGCAATGAAATAATTCAAACTAATAAAACCTTAAATCAGCCAAATTCAAAATATTCATATACAAGTCACTACCTTTTGATGCCCTTCGAGCTGAGTCAACAACGACAAACAATCCCCAGTACACCAAGAATGCAAATATCTACACTTATCGCCAAAACTGCAACTTCCTTGAAGCCAATAAATACACACTTTCTCCATCTTCCTCACCACTCCACCGCCCTGAACTCTTCCCCAATTGTTGTTAAAATTGGGATTCCTAGTGTTGTTAAAATTAGGATTCCTACGAGGTAAATTCTGATCATCGATGAACCCGTGGGACCGCTTCGATGACACCTTACCATTGGCAGTGGGCTGTGGCACAGGTAATTCTCTGTGTAAGAATGGACATGGATATCTGTTGCACTTGCCTGCCCTCCAATGATAACAAACCTTTTGCTGTTTGTTATCGTTCGACGACGGCCCAAGTCGTTGGAAAACGCGCTTGTTTCCTTCAACATCCATTATAGAGAAATATAACCGCTATAGGTATAAATACGTGGGTAAAGATCAGTGGACTCTATGATATTCTGAAGAACTGAAGAGTGGTATGCGACGTTCAAACCACAAAGTGTAATAGGCAGCGAAAGTTTGCGAATTTGGTGTGATCATCACACGGAATAATCGGAATCAGCAGCTGAGATTGAGTGATTTGATCAAGGAGGGTGTGGTTGGGCTGATTGGAAGAAGAGAGAGAGTGAAGGATTGTTGGTGAGAGAATTATTGTGGGAGGGGGGGATTTGGGGTTAGGGTTTTGAGGGATCGAATTAGAACCCTAATATATGTTGCAGAGGGTGTATCTGAGGTTGGGAGGAGGAGAAGTGGAAGAAGGATTGTTTCTTTTTGGAAAGTAGGAAGAAATATGATAGAAGTAACACGGAAGAAATATGATAGAAGTAACACGATAGCGTTACGGTAAATTACATTTATACCTCCTCAACTATGACTTCTTTTTAATTTGATCCCTCAACTATCATATTTTTTATATTATACCTTCAGCTATGTAACTAGTTTCGTATTATCCCAATTATTAAAATCTGTTACATATTTAACAAAAAAAAAATTTCATTTTGTCACCTGAATTATTAATTTAACTATGACTTTGTTTACTTTGTCATCTAAATTATCATATTTTTTATATTATATTCTTAACTATAAAATTATTTTACATTGTCACAGTTATTAAAATCTATTAAATATTAAATAGAATTTTATTTCATTATATCACCTGAATTATGTAATTTTTTTCACTTTGCCCAACACATCAACAATTTTTTGTCCAATAAAATAACNTCAATTATCATATTTTTTATATTATATTCTCAACTATAAAATTATTATACATTGTCACAGTTATTAAAATCTATTAAATATTAAATAGAATTTTATTTCATTATATCACCTGAATTATGTAATTTTTTTCACTTTGCCCAACACATCAACAATTTTTTGTCCAATAAAATAACAAACGTTTATGATTGGGATAATGTGAAATAATTAAAGTAGTTGAGGGAATAATATAAAAATTTTAATCATTAGAGGGGCAAAATAAAAAAGTCATAATTAAGGAGGTTAAAATATAATTTACCCTATTTTTAAAATAATTCTATATTTTAAAATTTTGAGTAAGAGTTTAATTCTCTCTTCATTTAAATAAAAATTTGAGTCTCAAATTTTTACTCAAATTTTCATTGTTTGAATAAAATTTGAAGATATTCTTAGCACCAAAATTGTACTAGATAACGTATTAGTATCAAGTTTTATTGCAGATCATTTTAATCAAATAAGATAGAAATGTAAGTTAATTGAAAATTCACAAAAATGCGAAAGGATTAAATTTTCTTCTTATTCTAAGGGCGATTGAGTGAGAGTAGGTTAGCTTGTGACAAATCATTAATTCCAACATTCTAAATTTGATTCTCGTTGAAGTCTCTTCAAGTTTATCCGCTACTTAGGGTTAGAGACTAATTCCAAGTATCTAATGTTTAAGTAAATCCAATATGACCCCTACCTTGTAGAAGTTCTTTTATCATTAACAAAATAACAAATTTGACATTTTTCTTAATCCTAGAAATCTCTCACCTCCCTTGCCAAATATTACATTAAACATTGCCATGCTGCCCTAATCTCATGTAAAGGAGACCCGGAAGACACCACGCCTGGAACTCCTCTTTACCGCATTTCTTTCTCTTGCAAGAGCTATTGAAAGAGTCGTGTTCACTGCTCCAACACCTCCAACTCCAACAGGAACTTGTGCATCTTTATTCACATCTTCCTCATATGTAGTCTCTATGCGTGGAAGAACAAAAAAAGGTTGCTATCATAAGGTAGAACTGTGTGTGTGTGTGTGTGTGTGTGAGAGAGAGAGAGAGAGAGAGCATTCCGAACAAAAGAACAAGCCAATTCCATCCAAGTTGTCAAATTCCATATACATGTTATGCATTGTGCAAGGTATCAACAAGAGCGAAGCCAAGAGGGTTACATTAAAAGAAACAATAGGTCATCCAACAGTGGAAATATCCAATAAGGGAAGAACAGGAGAGTGGATGCTCTACCGGGGACAATATGAATGGCTTTCATGGGGGAGTGTTCCTTATTCAGAAAAGCTATAGAGCAGAGATGGCATTTCTAATACCAAATTCTGAACAGAACCCATGACAAGATAACTTGTACCACATAAGGCATGTCGGCCAGGAAGGCGAGTAACTGGGACATGTCAATTTAACTGGCAAGTTTAAAGGCATCAATGAAGAGACCATAAGTGAAACCCATCTTGAAGTTGTTCAGCAGAGCAAGGGGGAAAGTCACCTTTGGCCGACTGTAATATAACCTTGTTGCATATTCTGTAAGGAGAACACACACCACTGCAGCAATTACATCATTCACTCCCAATGCTCCAAACGATAGAGATATTGTCTGTGCCACATAGAAGCCACCCAATAAGGATATTCCCCCAAAAAGCGCCCTCCTAGGAGTACTTCTGAAGTAATTCCTTGAGATTTCTGGCACAATTCGAATAATGTCAACCAGCCGTCGAGGAGGCCCCTCATTGTCTTGCACAGCGCGGATGCTAAATAGTCTGGATGGGGATCTCGAAACAAATGTTCCGTATTTTCCAAGTGAAATCCTGGTTCCAGAACTTGAGGGACATGAAACCAAATTCAGAGTTTGTGCCATTGATGATTATTATGGTATAGTGGGCACCAATCAGGACTTTCCTGGAATAAAAGAATAAGGGTTTGTTAGTGGGCTCCCAACAGAAGGAACTTCTCCACAATAACACCACACAGACACAAGGCAGGCTCCCGCCACTGCGAGATGCATACAGTCTTATCACGCACGTAGAAATGCTATTTTCGTGACTTGGACCCCTGACGTCCAAGACAATAGAGTAACCAACTATAATTACACTGAAAAAAATGCAACTCAATATAACGTTCCAGTAATTCACTTGATGTAATTTCGGGAATTCTTATAATCCATCAGTTGGCCAATCTAAATCATTTTTGCTCATTAGGTAAATTTTGTTCAAACAGGTGCTTCTAACATATTTCTGCTCCATTGAAGATTAATAAGAGCACCCCCTAAGAAATTATGAACTTATGCATAAAACAAACAATATTAAATTTTACAACGTAATAGTAAACAAAATTCTGCAAATTAAAATGGAAATTTTAAAACATGAACTCAGGTCCAATTTTAGAATCTTCAGCCAAACCATTTTTTTTTTCAACGGTCAAGGATATCCTTGCCAATCTTACATGCAACTCGAATAATCTTTTTCCAAGCAGCCAAACCATATGTGCTTTGGTGGTGTAGTAGTATAGTTAACTCAAAGCGAGAGAGAGAGAGAGAGAGAGGGGGGCATATAAACGACATAGTGATTCACCATATATCAAAAACATCACAATACATCAACTGTATATGAATATATGCGAGTTGGGTAAATCGAAAATATGCTAGTTCTGCCAAGGAATGGGTACGGATAAGGCATCAGTGGCTGAAATTAACCCAATTATTCACTAAAAAAGTATGAAGTAATGAAAAAAGATGTCACAATAAATCTACTCATACCTACACAACTGCAATCTCGGGTTGAAAAACCTCCATTCCTGTTTCCATTTGATTCCACCCGAACGAGAGGAAACAAGCATGCAAGTCACAGGAAGACGGAGCGCTCAGCTTAAGAGGGATAGACCAATCAGGGGCTTGTCTACTGTCGCTGCCCACTGCCCTCTTACTGTACAACGTCGTATAGTAACTGTAGCCCCAATGGGCTGTCGTTTGGGTTCAATGGGCTCAAGAACTTTGTCTTCTTGTTTTATTTTTTGTTGGCACTTGGTAAAGGTGGGTTATATGTTTTATGAAAAATGCTACTTATACATAAAATGGTAATTTGATTTGTTGACTCAATTAATCATAATTATTAAATAAGTAAATAATTTCAATAAATATTGCAACCTCCTCTTAAATCAATTACAATAATTAATCATGTTTATAAATTAAGTCAATATTTTAAGTCGAAGTGATATTGCTCATGCTTGGTTCATTACATATTAAAATTTGTTCAGAGAAGAGGATACAAAATCTGAGAGACTTTTGCTCTACTTGAATTAGTGTATAAGAAAAAATAAATAAATAAGTGTATTCGAGGTTAGTAGTTTGTCTAATAGTCATCAACTCCGTTGTTGGACTTTAAGGTTACGTGTTTGAAAGAAAATTGGAATATTTGAAGTCAAAGATTACAATTCTTTGGAAATCATGAAAATTTTTTAGTTCTAGGTAGGCATGTTTGTTTTTCCTATAATAGTGGTATTAAGTGGTAAGATATAGTAAAATAGTAGTTGGAAACCATTTATACCATGTTTGGAACCAAATTACTTAGTGTGTAGTACTAATTTGTGAGCTGAAATCCTGACCCAATTAACTACAGTGTGCCTCATCCCATGCACATGGGCATATTGAATACCATGTGGGGCATGGTATTATTTTGTTGTATTTTCCCACCAATGATATAATAATTTTTTTTAATGTTTTTCCTCTTCCACACACAAGGTGTCACGCCCCCATTCTGGTCTCCTAAGGATGAGATGCGACTAGATTTTTAATACACTTATTTACAATTATTATTAGCTAGACTAATCAAACATGATATAATCTTACAGGTGCAACAACATCACTCATCATCTTAGTTATTAAGCATGATGGTAAAACATGTATCATATATAAAACATTTGTACCAATCATTTGTTTCCAGGTTATAGACATATACAAAATCTCATACCCACGTAACATACATTACAACGTATGCTTGTTGAATCTATTTACAAATATATACTATTTACATGCTAGAATAATCTTTCACAAAATATAATACACAATCCAGAAATTTGTCATACTGACACTCAACCTGAGTGGTATCACACTAACGTTGTACGAGACTCAATCAACTGGACAGTAGATTAGTCTGCACTCTCCTCTATAGTACCTGAAAGAAGAAACTGTAGGGGTGTGAGCTAAACCACGCGCTCAGTGAGTATACATGTTGTATATAAAATGGAATAATAGTAATACATTGAAGTAGGTAAATACGACGTAGATACACGTATCAAACAACAACATTAATCCAATTCCAAAGAATTCATAAGCCACATCATATCTATATTATCCCTCGTCGAGTAATCGATCACATATAGACCCGTGTCTCCTGAACCTTCTAGGAACACCACACTGCTAGCACATCACTACACGCCTAGTGATCAGACATTGACGCCTGTGTCTGAAACAGTGCGCCACATTCTACAATACACAATACAAAGCATCATCCAATCACATAAACACATAGCACATAATCTTGAAAAAATGCTATTAAATTATATTATTTACTATCATATTATAATAGTATTTTCAAAACATATAAAGATATACACCCACCTCCAATANATGCTATTAAATTATATTATTTACTATCATATTATAATAGTATTTTCAAAACATATAAAGATATACACCCACCTCCAATAAAACAGATCTACAACCNTGTAGGGGTGTGAGCTAAACCACGCGCTCAGTGAGTATACATGTTGTATATAAAATAGAATAATAGTAATACATTGAAGTAGGTAAATACGACGTAAATACACGTATCAAACAACAACATCAATCCAATTCCAAAAAATTCATAAGCCACATCATATCTATATTATCCCTCGTCGAGTAATCGATCACATATAGACCCGTGTCTCCTGAACCTTCCAGGAACACCACACTGCTAGCACATCACTACACGCCTAGTGATCAGACATTGACGCCTGTGTCTGAAATAGTGCGCCACATTCTACAATACACAATACAAAGCATCATCCAATCACATAAACACATAGCACATAATCTTGAAAAAAATGCTATTAAATTCTATTATTTACTATCATATTATAATAGCATTTTCAAAACATATAAAGATATACACCCACCTCCAATAAAACAGATCTACAACCCTTCGATTTTATCGGTGGATCCTTTCAGTGTTACCGTATTTGTTCCGACACCGACTGCCTCACCCCTTCCACCTATTGTAATTATAATATTAATATGTTTATCACATTTAATAGTTAATAATGCACTAATGCATGCAAATGATGCACTCCAAAGTGCCCCCGGTAACCCTGATTACCACACTATCCACTCACACATTATCACTTTTGTTCCAGGAATCCCATTTTCTTCTCAAATCTCTAAAATTACTCACATTAATCACAATTAGAATTAAGTAGGTCAAACACATTGATCGGGGGTCCATTTCTACACATTTTGACTCCGAATCCTAAAAACTGCACTTCCAGTATTTCATACATTTTGCATCGGATATTGTACTCATTTGCATTCGTAAGTCACATTATCACATCAAGCATCATTTAAAAATGTTGTATGCAAAATTTCAGGTCATTGGATTAAAAGTCTCACATGTGATAATAACATTTAGAAATTAGGGTTTCGGCGTTACCGGCACCCTTTCCTAACCTCTATCGCTCTTTTCTTTTTTAAAACAGTCACACTTAACTCACACACACATCTAAGCATGCAAAGAAGCCCCTTAGTTAAACCCTTAAACCACCCATTCCAATTATTTTTCAATAAAACATCGAATTTGAAACGTTACAATCACTCCTCTACTTCCACTTAATTTTAAATTAACACAAATATTTTCTGGGAGGTAACCAGGTGCTCTACTTTATGTCAATGGAAAAATCTACGTTTCTAGTTTCCAACCCAACAAACGGCGCATCGTTTCGAGTTTCCTAGAGAAAGTTATTGCTATACAACTACAAGGTATGCAGTTTGTCTTTTTAAAACGAACATTACATTTAGTTTTCCTATTCTTTCAAAACCTCACCCAAATTCCCTCAAATGCATTTTAAGGAGGTTATCCACGAGCAGCTAAATGTAACCACACTTCAGTTTATTTGTTTAGTGTAATTTAAATGCACTTCTCTAATAAAATCTACACACCCTATTCAAATACATGAATTCATTTATCACCTTATGCCTTCATGAAACCATACACACGAAACTTTTATTCCTACTTTTGTAGCTTTCCCTTGTCCAGTTACTATACCTTCGTATAGAAAAAGGAAGGCTTAAAATAATATAAAGATTCAGGTATCATAAGCTCAAACATTAAAACTTACATATTAATCTAGCTATATGGTTGATTAATCACAAAACTATGTTTCAGTAGCTATATTAGCTAGAATAGTTCATACTTATGAATCTTCTCTTAAGTCATTTACTATACAACATGCATCATGGAATTAAAATTATCTCTATAACGCTTAAAATAAACAATCTTCTTAAGTTTACTGTAAGTGAATACTAAAATCAAATTGAACATTGAAGATAACTTACAACAAATTTTGTACAAAGACCAACTCTATTCACGGTTTGAGCTAGAACCCATCGATTCTCTCCTTCCTTGCTTCCGGTTTAACACATACACACACACATATATATTTTTTCTACTCTCCTTCTCTCTCGTTTTTCCAGCAAAACCAGAACACTGTTTTTTTTTTTTTTTAGACACACCCACACGGCTACACTGGAATGACACACACACACGTCTTCACTCTAAAACACACACACCCACCCACACTCGGCACTCACACACTCAGCCATTTAACAGCCTCACTTGACTCACCCTTTTCACATGCACACACATGTAAAGGTAAGCCATTTAATTAAGTAATTATACTCGCTTCCCCTCATGGTTTTAGGTATTTTTAAAATCGACCCACTATTTTTTTCACACATGAAATTCCTATAAATGAGGCTCACTAATTCATCACAAAAGAGGTCCACATACAAAATATATGTTATGGTTATGAAAGATTTAATTTAATTAACCTTTTAATATTTTCACATAATTTTAATTTAGTCCACATAATTATGCTATATGATCGGGTCTCACACAAGGAGTGGAATGCATTGGGGTTAAACTGATCTTTTCTCAAGGGGACAAACAAGTCTTGCAAATTTACTTTTTGTAGGGTCCACATTAATCATTATATCTATATAATAAAATATATTATAATTTGAATTTTTATTTTTTAAAAATATCACATCATTCATTTTTATCATATGTTTAATTATTTAATATTTAATTAATTTATAATTTAATATAATTTTATTTTAAACATTATCCATATACGATAGTATACACATTTTTAAAAAATTTAATATAATGAGATTGATTTTTTTAGTGCTCAAATTTTATATTTTTTTTTATTTTTAGGCACAAATTATGACTAATAATACTAAATTATATTTCATTGGGGTTGGATTGGTATGAATATCATTTGTCAATACCAACCAATGTTTCCGCAAAACAAACATGCCGCATATGTATCATTTTAGGATGTCCAAGTTGTAAGTCATATGAATGAAGAAATTGGGTCTAACGTAGATGATTTATGTCATTGTGGGATCCAAGAGAGAAAATATATATATAGTCCTACCAAAAGTCAACCATAGTACAACTCGACCAAAATAAAAAAAAACATTGTACATTCCCACAAGTGCCCCTTCTTCTAGTAGTACTATAACACACCGATAGATTTTTGGTTTAATGATACTTTTTATCTTATAAAAATTTTGTCTTTTTGAGATCAAGGGTTCAAGTCTTCTTTTCCCTCCCAAAAAAAAAAAAAAAANTGTCTTATAAAAATTTTGTCTTTTTGAGATCAAGGGTTCAAGTCTTCTTTTCCCTCCCAAAAAATAAAATAAAATTCTAATAGTA